ACTTTAGGAAAAACTATGATATTTTCTATAGGATAGAAAGATAATATAACCACACACCTTTCAAATGCTAGGTGCTCAAAAAATGTTGTTTTTGTTATTTGAACTATAGGCTTTTGCTGTATGATACAAAGGGTACAATTATGACTGCTTTAACGGATAGATAAAAATATTTGCATTTATGAGGATGCAAATATTTTTATCTATCCACTAAAATATTTTTTAAATATTTGAATTTATGAGGATGCAAATGCCACATTTGTTAAAAAAAAAAAAAAGTCAAATCAAATCCTAAATGCATGCAGGATACTGATACTGAGGGGTTAATATATTACGTTGGTTTTATAAAGCAAATAGTCATCTAAAATAACATACCATTATGAAAAAAAATACAGAAGTTAAAAACCTCTATATGGTTTTCTGAGTAACAAATGCAGTTGGTATGGGCTTGAGAACTACAACTAGCAAGGCCTGGGTCTTTCTCTCCCTCTTCTGGGATACATTCCCCAGCTTCCCTACAGATCAAGGTACCCCCACTCTGGGCTCTCCTTCAGCTCGGCACATCCTTTGGTGTGGAACTTACTGTACTGTATCAGAACATTCCCTGACTGACTGCCACACAAGACTCAGCTCTTCGCATGCACTCTGCCTTGGTCATAGTTTTTTCCTTTGGCTTCAGAAAAATAAACACCCCAAAATTTTATTCAACATGAGTCATTAGTATTTGTCACATGTATGAATGAGATCATTGATCTTTATTTCAGGGTCCCAGAAGGCTATGCCCATAAACCAATCTCACCTCCAGTGGAGGGTTTCTGGCTGGAAGATACAGGTTATGCATGCTAACTACAGCATACTCAGGCTATTGGAAAAGCACTGTTGGGGGAACATTCTACTTGTGCTGGGCCAGTAGTCTAGAGGATGATAGCTATGGCATAGTCTAATGCATCATTCATCCCTGTCACTCAATTGTACTGTTGAATCTGGACATTAGGAAGCTTTACTGACTTCTGAGACTTGGCTACATTTGAATCTGTAGCATTTTTGGATTTTAGTGCTGGGTTATAAACAACTCTTGGTGATTTTGACTTTAACATTTTACTGCTTATCCTTTGAATTCTTTCAAATTTGGACATATTCTTTCTAAGCTCCTATTATGAATTGGATATTTGTGTCTCCCTGAAGTTCATATGTTGAAGACCTAACCCCCAATATGATCATATTTGGAGATGGTGCCTTTGAGAGGTAATTAGATTATGAGAGTAGAGTCCTCATCATGGGATTAGAATCCTTTTAAGAAGAGGAGGAGACACCAGATCTCTCTTCCCCTCTGTGTGCACACTGAGGAAAGGCCATGTGAGTCCACAGTAAGAACGAGACTATTTGCAAGTTAGGAAGAGGGTCCTCACCAAAAGCTGACTCTGCTGGCCCCCGATCTTGGACTTCCAGCCTCCAGAACTGTGAGAAAATAAGTATCTGTGGTTTAAGTCACTCAGTCTATGATACCTTGTTATACAGAAGCGCCCACACAGACTAAGACAGCTTCCTAAAGTAACTCATTCTACAGGCATTTAGGGAAAACCCAGACCCAATTCCGGACAGATTTAATACCTGTTCCAGTTACCATTGCAGCTTAACAAATTATCTCCAAACCCAGTGGCGTAAAACTACAAACATTTTATTTTGCTCATCATTTTGAGGATAAGGGATCTGGAATGGACTCACCAGGCATTGACTATTTAGAGTTTCTTCTGAGGTTTCAGGCAGATATCATCTGAAGCAGCAGTCACATGAAGGCTCAGTTGAGCTGGGCACCCAAGATGGCTCACTCGGATGCATGAGGGTTTACGTGACGGATGAGCACTCAACCAGGATGTTGAACAATGGGCCTCGTGGTCTCTCCAGAATAATAGTCTCAGGGCAGCTGGACTTCAGAAATGATGGATGGCTTTCCACAGAATGTCCCAATGGGGCCAGACAAAGTTTTGTGCCCTTTTATGACATAGCCTTAGAAGTCATGCAGTGTCCTTTCTGTGTCTACCTGGGATCTCTCCATTAAAGCAGTCATAATTGTACCCAAGGGGAGAAAACAAACACTTCACCTATCAGTAGGAGGACTCTTTAAAAAAGTGAGCCATGTTTTGAAACTACCATTGTCCCATCTTCTCAAAATCAGTTATTTCTACTTTCTTTTTAAATTTTAGTTGCAATAGCTTATTACTATTTTGTTGGTTCCCCTATATCTTTTTTAAGCTTCCCCAAAGTGCCACAGGGGTAACTCTTTTAATGCTTTCCTCTACAGATGCATATTAAGTGTCCACTACATATCACCAGGATTTTGCAAGAATTCCACACACTAAATAATTGCAGTGAACCGCAAGTTACTATTAAATCATTATCAGTAATCACTATCTAAATCAAGAGTACATTTCCCTACTCCCACATCGTAAACTCTTGAGTCTCCTATTATTTTTTCTCTTGAATTCCTGATGCCATTTTTTTTCCGAATTTGTCCAGAATAGTGTCACACTTTATCACAGCAGCACAAGAAATGCCACTCACATTCGACTCTGTGTTGTATCATCTGGATCCAGGGCTTAGAAATATATCCGAGTGAAATTTCATGAAAACAGGCCATTGAAAAAAATGTGCATTGTTAATCTTTGGGAAACAATAGAATAGAAATAAAGATGGCATATTTTTTCAGTGTAATGAACCTCGACAGTCCCTATTGTGACTGCTGAAGCGGGTTTGATTGCCAGTTGTTAAATGAGCCTGCATCCCAAAAAGTGAGAGTAGATCACTCAGCAGAGAAGCAGACAGATGATATTTGCTTTAAGGAGAGATTAAACCACTTCCACAAAGGCCAGTGTCCTAATGCTTCCCCAAGGCAGCAGGGAGAATCTGCCCTTTCCTCTACATTCTTATTTCCAAGGCTTTTGCAGAATAAAACAATATTCATCAGTCCCTGGTCCACAAATGCAGTCAGTGATAACATAAGGAGCATTTGAGAGCAACTGAGGAAGTTGCTGAGAAGTATGCCATGTCTCTCCTGAACTGGATTGGCCTTGATGCCATCAATTGTTTCTGGAAAATTCTCTGGTCACCGGCCCAAAAGAGGTTAAATGCCCAAAAATGCCTTTATCAAGTCACTTAGACTCTGGAGATATATATATATCTCCATACACAGGAAAAATAAGTGACAAAGACACTATTTGTAGGTTCTCAGTGGATGAGACCTATTACCTGGTATAATTGAAAAGAGGACAAAGGTAAATGTCCCCCCAGATAGCTCTCTTTCTCCTGCCTGGATCCAGTTCTCCACGTTAGAATTACTGAGGGCGTAGAGCTGTGGTGTTCAAACTTTTTTACAGAACGCTGCTTTTGAACAATATTAATTTCAAAATTAATTGAAAGCCCATTGTAAAACACAGCTACTTGTTCTAGCAGAGGACGGAGGAACCATTCAGACCCACTCACCTCCAGGTGATCAAGAGTGCCTCAGCCACCAAGGACTAGGATTTGTCCACCACAGGACTCAAATATGATGCTCTCATTGTTTTGTCAGTTGAGCAATTCAGTAATAGCTGGACTTTATAGAATGAACATTTTCTGCCACTTTGCCTAATTTTTGGTTCTCATAACCAACACGTGCTACAAGTACTATTCATGCCATTTTATAAGGAAAGTGTAGCCCAAGAAAGATGAATGATTTGCTCAGGTTGAGAGGTATAGCACAGATTCAAATCTTGGTCAGCTGGATAATTATTTTTGTGGGATCTTATCCTACGTATGGTAGGATGTCTGGCAGCTTCCCTGACCTCCACCCTCTAGATGCCAGTGGCACCACTACCCCTAGATACCTGAAAATGTCTCCAGGCATTGCCAGATGTCCCCTGGGGTAAAATCAGCCCTGGTTGATAATATCTGCCCTAGACCTTGTCCAGAGCTGTAGGGATTCACCACCTCTCCTAAATAAAGTAACTTCAGTCATGCAGGCAATTTAATTCTGTAGGCTTACGCTGTCTAATCCAGTAGTCTCTCGCTACATGTAATTATTTAAATTTAAATCAATTAAAACTACACAAAATTAAAATATTAGTCCCTCAGTCATACTTGCCACATGTTAATCTGTTGTCCATAGCCACGTGTATCCAGAAGTTACCATATGGGACAGAGTAGAATAGAATATTTCCATTACAACATAGGAGAGCACTGCTATAGATAAAACCATACTGACACACAAGTGAGTATCTGGTATTTGGAAATGGGAGATGCATCCCTTATGATTCCTAAGGGATTAGGGAAGAAGACAGTCCCTGAAGAACTTGCTGTGCTGACTCTGCTGACAGTCAGCAAGCCTTCCCTCCTTGGGTATTCTCCAGTGTATGCAGAAAGAGAGAAGTCTGCATTGGCCCAGTGTCTGCTCATGACCTTCGTGAATGCAGAAAAAATGCAGACAAGAACCTCTTGAAGGGAAACTACAGACCTATTCATTTTTTCATAAAGGTCAAAGATAAGCAGATTTGCTGCCCACAGGGGAAGGATTCAGGGTAACGAATCCAGGATCTGACTAGAATTGGGGAAATTTAGCGAGGGAGAGATCTTAAAAAGTGCTTGAAAAAAATATAAGAACACACAAGAAGACAATTTCCCAGGTCAAGTCTGAAAGGTGAGGGACAGCCAGATGCAGGAGCGTGAGCAATCATGTAGTCCTAGCAATTCGTTACAGGTATGCACCTTTCATCTTATCCTACCCAAACTAGAAGGTCACTGAAGTTTCATGTTTGTGTTTTTTATTGCCCCTATGGCACAAAGGCATTTCATTAACAGTAGGACCCCATGTTATAACCCAAGAGGAGGCTGCTATGGGTCACTCGAGGAAAATAATGGTTTGAAGACAGTTGTAAAGAAAATAGGATTGCCAGATGTTAACAACAGCAACAGAGTAACCAGTTAAATTTTGAATTTCAATAAATGACAAATGATTTTTTTTTTTTGAGGTGGAATCTCGCTCTGTCACCAGGCTGGAGTGCAGTGACACGATCTCAGCTCACTGCAATCTCCGCCTCTGTGGTTCAAGCAATTCTCCTGCCTCAGTCTCCCGAGTAGCTGGGACTATAGGTGCATGCCACCATGCCCAGGTAATTTTTGTATTTTTAGTAAAGACGGGGTTTAACCATGTTGGCCAGGATGGTCTCGGTCTCTTGACCTTGTGATGTGCCCTCCTTGACCTCCCAAAGTGCTGGGATTACAGGCGTGAGCCACTGCGTGGGGCCAACAAATGACTCTTAGTATAAGTAGATTCCATGCAAGTTTTGGGATATACTTATACTAAAATATTTGCTGTTTATCTGAAAATTACATTTAATTGAGAGACATATATTTTATTTGTCAGCCTTAAGAGAAGGTGGAAGACTTGCAGAGGAAATATACATCTCAGGCAGTGAGAAGGAAGGGGCAGCGGTGATAGAAAAGAAAGTGTATTTAATTTAATGAATGTAAAAGTCTTTAAATGCAGTAAGGGAAGTCTAACGACTCAAGAGAAGCTTAATTTTTTGCTTATTTCCTATCAGAACTGAGAAAAAGAGAGTCAGCGTAATTCTCAGGTAAACTTGGTTATAACCAGAGCCAGGAAGTTCAGTTCACTGAATATATTGAGTGACTCTTGTATAGCAAATATTTGATGCCATACACTGGAGGACTGAAATTAAGAAGGCAAAATCACTGCCCCAGAGTAGTTTTTGTAAAGGAATCACACATGTGAATTGACATTTAAGATAAATTGCCATAAGTAAATCTAAAGCTATGTGCAATAAATATGCAGTAGGGAGCCACTAGTTTTACTGGGGTCAGGGAAGACTGTGTAGGTGACGTAATGCTTAAGCTAGACTTTCAGGAATGCAGGCAAGAGTGCACAGCATGACTTGTGAAGGAGCAAGTATGATCAGGAACCTGGCCAGTGGTCGGCGATGGTAGGAATCGGGGGTGTGAGCAGATGGGGAGAAAGATTGAAATCTGGTTAAAAGATGGGCTGGGGCTGGAACCAAGTCATTAGAGGCTACAGTCTAGGGGCAAAGGGGAGGCATTCAAGCAGGGAAGTAGCAAGATCTAATCTGTAACTTAAAATAGTAACAATAGAACATTAAATGGCAGTATATTAAAAATGTTTTGAAACTATATTGAAAATGTTTTGAAACATCAATTTTGTAGTTGAAGATCTTCCTAGTATTTCTTTAAAGTCATCTCATTTTTGGCCACTTTATGTGTCATTGATGAGGGGAGCAATAGAGAATAACTGTTAAGACCACGGGCATCGGGTCAGATGATGCTGGAATTGAATCTTGGCTCTGTGACCCTGAAGTCATCAGTTTAACATTTGACATCAACCATCATCTGAAAGATGGAAGAACAACTGTCCTCATATCCCATAGGGATGTGTGAGTTTTAAATAATATGACAAACACATAAAATTCCTGGTACAGTGTTCAACAAGTAAAAATGATCATACATTTTGATAGAAATAATGAATTCATTTATTTCATATTTTTATCTAGAGTTCATGCACCTAACTGGCTAATTTAGGACATCTAACCCCCTTGAACACTATGAGCTCAGCTGTTCCTAGGAGCCCAGGGACCTCTCCACACATGTTCACATCCAGTGTACTCATGGCAGGTGGTGCCTTTGCCAGGCACCAGGTTTTGTGGCACCGTTTCTTCTGGCATCAGAATGTCTGCTGCTCCACTGGGTGTGGGAGGCTCCCTGGCTTCTGCTGAGGGCGCCTCTGTAATCCTGGCCCCTCAGAGTTTCTGAAGCTCTACTGTTGTCCTTGCCAGTAGTTTTGCCTCTAGTGTGTTCCAGAGTTTAATGAAATTGCTCTTTTTGAATTTTTATTTTTTTTGTCGACTCTGTTGTTTATATAACCCAGACATGGGTCTGTTAGGAGCTTGGCAGAAAAAGAACCAAGCTATCTCCAGAATTGCCCCTCTCCTCTAAAGACCAAACTGCTGAGGGGTTCTGGCTTGTGGCTTATAGGATCCTCGGTCACTTGCTATCTGGAGCGATTTCTCCCTCCCATGCCCTCTTTTTCCTCTTCCCAGCACCCCAACACATTAAGATACAGTAGGGATCGTGGGTCCAGTAAGACTTCTTTTTACAAACTGATGCTGCCCATTCGAGTTACCACATTGACAAGCCATTTGTCCCTAAATAGCAACATCAGAGTATTACCACACAGGGTGTATGGTGATGGGGGAGGCTGAGTCACATTCTGAAAACCTCTTTCTACCACCCTCCTAAGCCATGAAGCCACAAAGTATTCATTACAAGGTGAGGCTGTACTAAGACCAATTATGAGCAGGGTTGTTCTTTGTTTCACTTATCCAGTCAGTGTATTCCCTCCTTTTTCTTAGTGAATCAGCATACTTGGGGTCTGTGGCTTCCAGCTGACCGGTAAATCACAGACATATGTGGCTAATCATTCTCCCCTTGCAGTGTATTTACAAAGTCAGCCTGCCACATGTCCCTTGCAGTGAGCTCCCAGCTACCAGGCCTGTCTGTGCCATCTGTTGAGATAGTAGGCCCCTGCTTCAGAGTTCTGGGTATAGGAGAAGTTAGTACAGATTGGCCAGCAACCTGGACAAGAGTAAACAGACCCCTGCAGGGAGAGGCCAACAGGTTTCCAAATCATAGGGGCCCTGATGGGTGCAAGCCATACACCCAAACCCTAACTGAAGAGAACATTTCATGGATTTTTTTTTTTTTTTTGAGGCAGGGTCTCACTCTGTCACTCAGGCTGTAATGCAATGATACAATCATGGCTCACTGTAGCGTCAGCCTCCAGGACTCAAGTAATCCTCCTGCCTTAGCTTCACTCTGTCACCTCAGCCTGTAGCTGGGATTACAGCCACGCACCACCATACCCAGCTATTTTTTTTATTTTTTATTTTTCATAGAGATGGAGTCTCACTGTGTTGCCCAGGCGGGTCTAGAACTCCTGAACTCAAGTGATTCTCCTGCCTCCTCAGCTTCCCAAAGTGTAAGGATTACAGACGTGAGCTATGGCGACTAGCCGAGACTTTCGTATAGAGAATGTGACTCATTAGTAGCTTTTTATGGGGGCAGTATATATGATGTTACCATGAAATATTATTCATAATTGCTCTAATAACAAAGGGATTTTGTAAAAAATACCAACTAGCAATGTTTGGGAATCTTATGAGAATATTTAAGATCTCACAGGATTTGTCACTGATAATTATTCCTGTAGTCATGAGAACATCTCCATTCTGAGGTTAAATGGGGTGTTTCGCAGTTGTTGGATAGAACTCTTGCATCATTCACATAATGGTGCATTAATTCTTTTTCTCTGAATTCTGTTGTATTGTGTATGATTTCAAAGGAAAAATAAAGGTTGGAACATGTTTCCTGTGGTTTCTAAACACATGTAGATTTAAGCAAATAATAGCAAGGGAGACTCAGGTAAATCCTGTTCTGCCCAATGGGTCATACTTTAAATATGAAAGCTTTTTGTTTGCCTTTAGAAAAGTGAATAATAATTTTTTGCTGCAGAATGCTATACCAGCACATTTGTCTATAAATTTACATTTTTGGATATTAGCAAAATTGCAAGGGAATAACAGGATAGATCCCAAAATCCATTTGAAAAAGAACAACAGTGAAAAATAAGGTCTAGTTTAGATAATTAAGCAGTGAAGGGAGTTGATAGGAAGAAAACTCTTTTCCCCCACAGAGGCCATTGCTCAGCCCATGCCTTTGTCTCTCTCTGAAGAATTGCCGAGGAAAATGAAAAGACCATGGCTGCATTTCAAGAGAAGTCCAGGCCTGGGTGTGCTGCTCCTCATGAATAAGATGTGCAGAAAAGCACCCTTTCCATGAGAGCGTTGCCATGTCTCCTGTTTCCCCCAGCACAAAGATGGAAACATGCTCTTGTCATTTTCTTTTTGGTTTATTGAAAATTTCTTTTTTTTTTTTTTTTTTTTTTTTTGCGGTGCATGTTTCCCCTAAACAAAGCTGTGTTCAACTAATTCCATTTCTTTTTTTTTTTTTTTTTTTGAGACAGAGTCTCACTCTATTGCCAGGTGCCAGGCTGGAGTGCAGTGGCACGATCCTGGCTCACTGCAACCTCCACTTCCCAGGTTCAAGCAAGTCTCTTACCTCGGCCTCCCGAGAAGCTGGGATCACAGGCATGCACCACCATGCCCAGCTAATTTTTGTATTTTTTAATAGAGACAGGTTTCACCATGGTCTCAATCTCTTGTCCTTGTGATCCGCCCGCCTCGGCCTCCCAAAGTGCTGGGATTACAGGCTTGAGCCACTGTGCCTGACCCAATTCTATTTCTAAGAGAAGTGGGTGTTTTAAGTAGTTGTCCTTGATTTTAAGGACAACACAGATACATCAAGGGTAGAGAAAGGTATTCAATGAGAATGTGACCTTTAACAGCATAGACTTGCAAAGTGACTTTTTTGGGACTTTAAATACGATCTGAAATACTAACATTTTCAAAAAAAAGAATCTTGGTTGAGAGACTTGAGGACATTTATCCCAAACTTACTACCTTGTCTTTGAAACAACAGTAATAAACTAGATAATAGCCACAGCTCCGTACAGTTAGCCATGTGTCCTCATAGATATATATATCCCAATTAATTAATGATGATATGATAGCTTTCTTCATTAGAGCATGAAATTTGCCCAGCCACATGCACATGCACATACACAAAAGTGTGCATGATACAGGTGTTACACATCTTAAATGTCATATAATTATTAATTCAAGCCATATTGCATTCCTGTGTCAGATAAAGCCACCTGCCTTGCAATCTGTGATTTGTTGCTGTCGATTTATCAATTTAGTAGATATGAGTTCATTTGCCAGTTGAAATCGCAAGTTGCAATGCATGCATTTGAAAACTTTCTATAAAATGAAATTGGTATAAAGAGTGTGTTGGTGAAGTTCTTCTTACTTCAAATAGAGTAAAACTTAACCGCATCTTTTTAAACAGTTTCCTTAAAACTAGGTATATTTAATAACTGAAGTAGTGTAACTGAATTATCATCAGTAGAAGTCTTTGTTGACCTAACTCATCAGGTGGAGAGGATTTGAAAAAGATAGAAGCAGTTTGCATAAAAAAAAAATGAACAGGCTGTTCTGATCATTTGAGACAAGCTTCCTTTCATAAGAATCCACACTCAAGGAAGCAGCATCAGAGGTGTCCTTATAAGTACAGACGGGAGAGAGGATCTATGTAGCTGTGGGGTGTGCACATCTAATAGAGCTGAACTAAATAATGTCAGGTAAATTTTAACTTTATATCTTTTTCTTTTTTTGTCATCATTTCCATTTTTCCCTGCTTCATTTGTTCCTTATGTCTTCGGTGATGCGTGAGGAGTTAGTATTTGAGGATTATGCCTATCAAAGATTTTTTTAAAGTTTTATTTTCATTATTTTCCTTACTTTGACACACATTCACGTTGTTACCATAGACTTCAGCCAAAGATAGGACTTGTCTTTATGGCCTATCTTTATACTCAGAAGCAAATTATTCATCGTTTACACTTAATTTTGTTTTTTTTTCTGTTTAGGCAAGTGTCCATTTGTCCTTACTTCCAGCCAATAAACATTTCCAGGGGATTTTCAAGGTGATTCCTCCAGTTAGAGATGTTCAAAACGTGGTCCCAAGATGGTTGTGTACATGCATGACAATGCAGGTAAATAATGTCAACACAGCTTTATAGTTGAGCAATCCTCAGTAGTTAATAAGTAAGTATCTCTATCCTATGAGATGTGTTATCATTCCTGTTTTACAAATGAGGAAAAACTGAAGAGTCAAGTAATTTTGTTACATGGTGTAAGTAGGACTTAAGGCCATTTGTTCTTTCTCCAGACTAAGTGACATGGACTATGGACTAATGACGCCTTTGATTATCATTGTTATGTCTCTTTTCAAACTGCAATCAGTGCAAAGGTATCACCTGCAGATCTTGTTAAAACGCAGTTTCTGGTTCTGACTCAGGTCTGGGATTCTGCACTTCTAGCGAACTCCTAGCCGTTGTTGCCTGAAATTCCACACTTACAAGCTCCCTGAAATCTGGTCCACTGGACGGACATTGAATAATAAGGCTTTTAGCAATCTTCTGTTCACACAGTGGGGTAGCACAGCACATTCTCCAGAATTTTATTACATTTTCCAATCTTTATTTTTTCAATGTGGTAAGCTGCCTTTTCTTAGTAAATTTGTATATCGATATGAAAGTATTTATCTTCATACATACATTTTAAGTCTTAAGAAATATTTGGAATTATAATCGGTATCAGTAAACAGAAATCAGTTTGTTTACAAGTATCATTTTACAACGTAGCACAACAGGGATACGTTTAGTTAAGTGGGCCATACATTGGGCAAACAGTGCTCTGCAAAGCTTTGCCTCCCATGTGGCTGCAAACCAGAGGCATAAAGAAAGTAAAAAGTGCCTATTCACTCTTCACATTGTATGCCACTGCTCAGTTTATGCAATCAAATGGGAGTTTGATTGGTTCTGAGGGCCCGACCTTGCTGGCTGTGTCCTAAGTGGTTGGGCCTTAAGCTTTAAGCCTCTGGGGAGCCATTCACTTAATTGAAATAAAAACAACTCCAGCAGGGTTTCTGTTAGCATTTGCTTTAGTCACAAATCCGAGAGACCCTAAACCAGGAGGTCAAAACTATTTAGGAGTGATTCTCAGAGCAGCTTAAGCTCAAGGAGCTCCAGGTTATTACAGAGTGAATTGTACATAGAGTGAGAATTCCGGAAACACTGTGACGCCTTAACCCTGCAGCCATGCTGCAATGAACCTGTTGTAAACTAATGCCTTTGGCATTATTTCTTGGCCCAGAGGAACAGGATGGCAAGGTTAATTGCAAAGGTGGAATGCTGGGTGCCAGGCAGGAGTAGGTTGAATATGTAGTTTCTGGAGGACAGCCAAGTCTACAGTCCCACCTCTGCATTCCTTAGGTGTACGAACTAGTGGGCAGGTGTCATTAATATCGTAAGGAGATGTGAGAACCAGAGAATGTACTGCCCTCGGAAAGGAGAAAAAGGAACATTCCAAAAGTGGAGGACCTGAGGCTCTGAGCCCTGGTCTTCTGTTGCCAGGGATGAGGTATAGTGGGAGCACAAGAGCTTACTTGTTGTCTGGCAATAGCAGCTGTTTACTGAAGTACATGAGGTGAGGTAGGTGGGGTACTGTAAATCTCTCCTCAACATGGTGCATCTGAAAAATCTTTATTTTTATTTTCCCATCTTAATAAGGGGAGGATAGTGGAAGGGGTGAGTGGGAAGAATGGTGCTGTTTTTACAATATCTAAAGTTAAATTAGACTGTACTTATATTTTACAATCTAGGACCCTGATTTTAGGTACTTTTGACATTTCTTTTGTTATTGCTGTTTTTAGAGACAAGGTCTCACTCTGTGGTGCAGGCTGGAATGCAGTGGTGGGATCCTAGTTTGAACTGCAACCTCAAACTCTTATACTCAAGGGATCCTTCTTCCTCACCTCCCAGAGAGCTGAGACTACAGGCACACTCCACCATGCTCAGCTCACTTTTTTTCAGTTTTTAACAGATGGGGGCTTACTGTGTTGTCCTGGCTGGCCTTGAGCTTCTAGCCCCAAAGGATCAACCCACCTTTGCCTCCCTATGGGTTGGGATTACAGGCACTTTTGACATATCTACTCCATCTCTAACAGCTTAAATTCTATCTGCATGGTAACGACTTTGCTTGTGTTAGGAACATACACATCTCAACTCTTCAGTGTGGAACCTCTTCCCCTCCCCAGTGATCATGACTACAAGTTGAGAATATGTAGCCAGTGGGCCACATCTTGACTAAAACCACATTTTATTGGACCCACAACATTGATTATTATTATATTTCAGTTACTAAAATTTAAAAATTGAGCACGTTCATGTAAAAAATCCAGATTTCCAATGACTCTTAGAGACCGGGAGACTCATCTTTCTAGGGCCGCTATGCTGCGTAGCTTCTTATAGCTGGTCTGCAGAGCTGCCCTCCTCTTTAGGCTGAGAGTGCACTCTATAGTTTGCTAGTCTTAACCACTCATCAGCTTGGTCCTCTGCTCTTATCTGCATTTGAGTTAGTGACCCCTGATGCAGAGTAGCTTGAGACCATGTGAGTGTTCTGACATGCTGTCAGTGCTGCTGACGAAGCTCAAGAGAGCTGAGTGTACTCCAGATGGGCCAAACCCAGTATATATGCAAAACCATGGTTCTGACTTCTGACTTCATCTAAGCCGGAGGGTATAGGTGTAAGTTTAAGTTATCTGGAAGGGTTTAGTACAGAGATTGTATTTAGCTGTGGACGACTGAAAATCTAAAATAATAGTCACTTAAACAACTGGGAAATGCATGTTCAAATGTCATAGAAGTCTGGATGCATGGGTCATCGCTGCCATGAGACCACAACCATCAGAAATCCACTTTTCTGATGAGGATCACACATTTTCAACATGGGGCTTCTGCTCTGAGTTGAGATGACTGCTTAGTCTCTAGCCTTCTCTTGTTGGCAGGAAAGAGAAAAAACATGGGAAAGGCATGTTTTCTCCCTCTAAGGAAACCCTGTACACATTGCATGCATCCCATCTGCCTGTATCTCATTGGCTAGAACTTAGCCACATGGTGATTATGCAGTTGTACCAACCTAATGTTTAGCTGCAAGGAATGCTAGAAAAGAGTCTTTATTCTAGGTGACCTTGTTTCCAACTAAAGATAAGCAAGGAAACAATGAATATTAGGGTGCTACTGGCAGTCTTTGCATGGACCGTGTCTTGTGGTTATAATATTTCCCAGACGTTGGCATGGTGGATATTAGGTAAATATGGTAAGGGTAAGGGAAAGACAGGAATCAAGCCTCAGTTACCCTTACACTCAACTCCTGGTCACCATACAATAAACCATATATACTGTCCTTATTCCTTTAAACAACTGGGAAATGCATGTTCAACTGTCGTAGAAGTCTGGATGCATGGGTCACAGCTGCTATGAGTCCATAACCATTAGAAATCCACATTTCTGATGACGATCACACATCTTCAACATCCATCCATCATTCCTTATTCCTGTACATTTTGCTTTGCTTCATCGCCCAATGCAAGTGTGTTATCTGTAATCAGTGAAGTATTTAAATCCTATGCAAGGTACTAAGAAAGTATCAAGAGACAGGGGCCCCTTCCCACATGGAAAGGCAAGTGTCTCATCAGAGCTCCCACCCCCATGAAGTGCAGTTTCCCAAGCTTACCTGCATGATTGATCCTGGAACTTCACCACCTCTGGCAATATCTCCATTAACCTTCATCATAAACTCAGTTTGGGTGGTATATTAGGAATCACTGCTCTCAGCCTAACACTTTTCAGTGATGTCTCTTCCTGGCCAGTGAGCATAAAATAGGTTCCTCTTGTGGTTAATCGTATGGGAATCTGAATTTACACGTCTTCACTTTCGGAATAGGTGAAATTCACTCATTTTAAAAATTGAATCTTTTTATTTTTTGTCAAATAATTAGTGTAAGGCCTAATTCTGTTCCTTAAAGATTAATCAGTTTACAAAGGTTTACATAAAGCTTTTAAAAAGTAAATCCATAGGAAAAGAAGAAGTATACAAAGTGGTTTTTTAAGGGAGACTGAGACATAACTATAGTTTCAAGATTAGATCTCCCCCCACCACACCCAAGTAGATACTCTCTTCAAACTATTGAAAATATATCTGATTGTTTCCCAGTTGGGACAAGATAATGAAATCACTTGTTGTTGAATAAGAATAGCATATAATTTGTTCTGGACTAACTTTCTCAAATATATCATTCAGATGGAACATGTGTGCTTTTGGTTCTTTAAATAACATATTAGGCCCTAAATGTTAATTTAAAAAGAAAGTCTGGAACCTTCTTGGGAGCAGATATCTAAGAGTGGCCTTGGGTCTAATGATGACGCTTGCACTTTGCAACTGGGCCAGTTCTTCCATCCCTCCTTTTCTCTCTGGCTCCCATTCACAGGCAGTCCTCCGATGCTGTATTAGGAAACACAAGAATTTAAGGGGCACAGGCGGCATACTATGTTCTGAGCCTGGCCTTTCCTTTGTCCCTTGATCATTTCACCGTTGGCATCTCCCCATGAGCAGGCAAAGGAAAGAACCAAGACTTCAAACTAGACTTGAGCTCCTGAGAAAGCTATGTCTCTAACAAAAACGTTTGGATTTGTGTTGTGTGTTTTGGAGAGGGCCATGATACTTTCATGCAAAAAGTCACAAAGTGGAACGGTCTGAGGATCTTCTTGCTCTCCTAGCAGATACCCCTTTTGCTTTTTAAGAAATAAAAGGAAACAATACCTTTCATACTAAAAATGGGAAGGAAAAAAACAACCTGCCAAGAAAAAAATATTAAAACTCCATAGTAGCTCCTAGACAGACATTGATTCATGCATGTATTTTAAAAAGATAAAAGAATAAGTATGCTGAGTGGTCTCCAGAAGCAGCTGTTTAATTTTCTCCCTGTTTCCCTGCATCTACAAGTATAACCTTGTATTCAACATCTGCTCTGCAGTTTCTCTTGAGAGCTGTAATTCAATACTGGGTCTTCTTGTCATTCTATAAAGTGAGTTATTCTGAGGGAAGAATACTGAGGGCACTCCATATAAACTACTGGTCTTGCAATACTTAT